GCTGCGGCTGGTCCTTGCTGTGACCCGCGTTTGCTGGGATTGAAGGCGCGGCGCTCGGGTTTCGGCGCAGTGGGTTCTGGAAATGCCAAAAAGAATCCCACCGTCATTCATTTTCGGAAACCGGTTAACCTAAAGTCATCTAGTGATCCGCTTTTTTTTTCTCGCGTTAAACTGACGACTTCAAGGCATTTACTCGAATTTTCGATGACGTGCTTTTCGTCTCAAATCTACTCAAGAAGTTATTCCAGGGTGCGCTTGTAGTTTTCGATGGCGTCATAGATTCGCAATAAAAGGAACTTGTGGAGTGCCTAAATTATACCAAGCTAAGGTTCACATGCAGTAAATTATGTCATCTTTGTATTTGTGTTTCTTTCACAGATTGGAGACCTCTCATGGAAACTTGAATCTTGCTGACAGGATATTGAAGACGAAATTGACGGGTAAGGAGCATACTTTGGGTAATTTCCAGTATTATAATTTCGGCTGGGATACCGAATTGCGTTTATTTAACTAGGCTTCCAAAACTATTATAATTTGAGAAGATTTGTTTCAAATTGAAAAATTGGCGGTTTGCTGAGGGAAGCAACACAACATTGTTTGACCACCTTGCTTTTCATCCAGCATTTCATACTGATAGAAATGAGCTTAAGAAAGATTTACAAGTACTGTATTAGAATTCAATGAAGAGACCCTTTCTGAAATCTTAAAGNTACAAGGGCGTCGACACGATCTTCGGCCTCTTCGACTTGCTGACGAATAACTCGTCATTGTTGGGCTCCACCTCGAAGTCCTCGTAGTCGACCATCAACTGCGGCGCCCTGGACCGGAAATTGTACACTTCCGGGTCCACAGTGCCCTCCAAGACCGGAGCAATGACGGTTGTCGACCCGCCAGTGATGACCGAGTGAACAGTCTTGACTTCGTCCACCACGGCTTCCCCGAGGCCCGGGTTCGGTGCGGAAAAGTACTCGTCGTTGTCGACGAAGATGTGGGACGTGGACTGGAGTACTTGGGCGTAGACGCCGTCCATGACGGTGCCGACGACCTTGGTTTCGTGGACAGTGGTGGTGCCGGTCATGACGGTGGTGCCGCCGAGGGTGGTGAGCACCCCGAGGGACGTGGCGTCGATGGAGGGTTGCAGGGACACGGCAGCTTTGGGTTTCTTTTCGGGGATCGGGGGAATGATGGAGACGTCGGGTTTGCGCCGGGATTGCTTCCCGTCATTCACTTCCACTCGTACGTCGACTTTTGACTGGACATCCACTTTGGGTTTGCTCGGGGTCACGAGGCGTTCCTCTGACCTGGAATTTTACGAGGGTTCGAATTAGAACAGCAAGGAACAAAATGTCAGTTTCGCGAGGAACCAGAAGTCTAAATTTTTTTTTAAAAAGAAACGCATGTGTATCAAAATACAGCAGTGGACATACGAAAGATGCACAAACGGGAAAATCAATTGAGCATGATAGGAAAATTTTGTAAATCGTATTACTTATGTAGTATCAATTAAGCAGCATTGATAATGAAATCAAAAATGTTCAATTACTGAATTCACCCCATGAAAACATTTCAAGACAAAATGGGGTATACGTTTAATTCCTGCTGGGTTAAAATAATAGTCTGCAAAATTTGGAATTTTGGCACGCGTCCTATCTGATACACGAAAGTACTGTACATTGCAAACTATTTCAGAAAGTGGGCGAAAATATTTGAATTTCTGCTAAACATTAGGTGCATTATTCAAGTATTTTATATTTAATTCAAAAGCATGCATGGTTTCGAAGGACCGTACTGTAATTTGAATAAGCTTCTCTCCCAAGTTTCTGAAACATCTTTCAACGGCAACTTTCATAAATTACGATTGCATCCAGTTTCTGACAGCTACGGATAGTGAGAAAATATGGATAGTTAATACAAATATTTCTTTATCTTAGTCTGTAATCATATTTATATCAATATAAATTTCAAAATACTAGCAAGAAAATTTTTGGTGATGAAAAACTCCGGTGCTTGTCTTATTCAAGGAAACTTATTTTCAAATCTTCTTCAAAAACATTTAGGTGCACATTTTCTTGAGGATGTAAATTTCCTGAATTTGTTATTAAATGGGCGTGCGGTAATTCCTTTGTAAGAATAGGTCAATAACTAGAAAACAAAAATATTTTCTTCTGGAAAGGCTTTATTCTTGTATTCATGAACGTGAAAAGATGAAAGTGCAAAGCTTGGATTAGGTGAGATTATATATATTTTTTTCAAAAGTATGGTGTATCAACTAATAACATATCACTTCTTAAAATTACTTGGCTTCAATGCAAATAATTCTCCAGAAAGTAATTCGTGCAGCAGTAAAGGCAAAGTACAGTAATTCAGCGTAAGGAAGGTAATTTTTACTCGGGATATTTAATTCGTTTGTCATTGACATACCTGTAAAGATAAAATAACAGCGTTCTTCTCCGCATTTACTGTTACTTTCCTTTTCAAGACACGTAACGGTCTCTTACTCTCAATTTAGATATACCTTCTGGCATATTTGCTATTTCAAAATAAGAAACGTGAAATGCTTGAGCTGGGACGTATTTCGTCGACACACGTATCTACTAGCTCATTATAAAGCCAGGTCGTTATTCTGGCGGTTTCATCGACTTTAAAAAAGCAAATCATGCTTTTGTAATTGAAAAACGGTTCTTGGCGGTGTTCTATTGCGGAAACTTTCGATCTTGTCGAATAATTTTATTTTAAGTCGAAAGACTTCCTTTAAACTCACGAAAAGTTCGACATATATTTAGAATATTCTTCTTGATATCCGTCGTTTTGCATAGATTAATAAGTTTGGATCACGCTTTTCTTTTAAAAAATTTTCATCGATACAAATAACCGGATAAATTCACCCGTAATGTCCTATACCGCAAAATTTTAAGGAGCAGTTGTGTTAACACATGGTCGTCATATTTTTTAATGTTCTGGGAATAAAATTATTGATATAATTCAGTCGTCAAACGGATGAGCTGCAATTCATTCAAATTCATAAAAGTATTTCGCTTCATTTTAAAAATGAAAAATCTTTTTGAACGAAGAAGTTTGCGAAGGAGGGATTTAAAATATGGATAATTTTTGCGACCCTGGATTGAAAAAATCGAACTGTAAAAAAAAATGGACGTGAATGTCATTGAAAAGACTTGGAACGTTTGAAATATTTACAAAAATTGGATTTTGAGTCGTGTTAAAGTTCATGCAATTCATCGAATGGCTATCAATTTAAATGCAAAGTTCAAGATCGTGAACCGAAGTCAGATGAAGTAATTTTTTTTCGTTTCGGCGTCTTGCATCGTACATGAATAAGTGACTTGAGTACGTCACATGGTATTATATTGTTCACATCAGAACGTACCTGAAGCTATTTTCAATGCTGAGTTTCGGTTCTGAATAGTAGAAGTCATAATGATGCGACACGAGTCCATTGTGAACCGGGGTCAGCACCGAATCCTCGGCCAGGGTTTCCAACTCAAACAGACTGGAAGCGAAAGCTGGCTTGGATTTCGAGGGACTCACAGAAACCTCAGCGGGTTTCGGCGAAGTGATGACGATATTCGTCGACACCGACACCCTGGGTTGAGGCTTGACTGGGTTCACGGTGTTGACGTTTTCTTCGACGCGGGTTTCGACGCGTTGTTTCACGACCGGATTAGGCGCCTGCTTCTTGGGCTTCACAGGTTCCAAATCGAACCCGGAAAACAATCCTGGGAAGAAAAATTGGAATTTCAGCGAATGACTCCTTCTGTATTCGTTTATCAATATAGTAGATTAAAAATTAATCTAAAAAACCACGTTTTCAAAAAGCAAAAAATAACCTT